TGGATCCACGATCAATACCCTTGGTATTAGCACTCAGGAGATGTATTGCCTTGGGCAAGTCTGCTGTCAGGGACCTCTCCAGATTACTGAGAAGCAGTGATGTCAGTTCAAAAGATTTAAGGTACAACTGATCCCAGCCATGGTGTTTCCAGTCACTTGCTGTGCATCTGAGAGCTGAGCAATAAATGAGGATGACGGAAAAATGTATGCCTTTGAGTGTGGTGGTGAAGAAGAGTGAATGAGTTTTGCTCCTAGTTGAAAAGTGCCTGAGGGCCATAGTCTTTGGGATAACATCAGTCTCTTGGACCAGTAAGCCTGGCTTTGTTTGTTGTTTAGTTCCACACTCCTATTCTGCCCTAGACTTTGTTTTGTGATTCCTTTTAGACTTGTCAGCAGTGGTAGCTGGGCATCATCTACTCTGGTTTCTGGATTGTGGAAGTTGAAGTTCATATGTCTTGTTAGTCCTTTGGACTAAATGTCTCAGTACTTAGTTGCTATTCTTCCCTCTTTTGTTCCAGACAGGGAGAGACCAATAATTGCACTTTAGATGACTGCTTCAGTCACTACTTATCTGAGTATAGAACACTGAATGTAGATAAGACCCCACTCCCTCACTCTACTGTAAGTAGATTGTAGAACTTTGCCTTTGTGGACCGTGTTATACCAGTTGGTCTTGATATCCCTTGAAACTATGGTTGTGAGGCCTTTTGACTAGCAACTCATTCTCAGAGTGTCTGGTTATGATTAAGAAGCTTCCAGAGCGTCTGGCTCTTGTTAGTTGTGCTGTAGCCTGGTTGTACTTAGAACATATTCTAATGTGAAAGTAGAAATTACTGTCCGTTAAATTTATGTATGGTCATGGATGAAAACTTGGTATTTTTGATAAGTGATTTCTCAGTCTCATTTCTTCTATTTTTTCTTAATGGAGCTTCAATTACATGAGTGTTAGATTGCTGATACTGTTCTATTGGTTATAAACTTTTTTTAAAAAATTAAATTTCTCAAGATTTATTAATTCTGACTAATTCTGTTTACTCATCCTTTAATTCTCATTCTGTTAATATTATTACTTTTCTTTGGAACATTGGATTTTTTAGTTCTGGAAGTTCTGTTACTGAAAGTTTCTTTTTTGTATTGAAATTCTTCACCTGTTCATTCATATTAATATTTTCTTGTAAGTCATCAAATTTTACTAGCTGCTTCAAAGTTCTTATTGTTATCTTTGCTGTCTTGACCATTTTATGGCCATTTTCTGTTACTGTTTTCTTGGCTCAGGGAGCTCTGCTGGGCTAGTATCCAGAGAGTTGTGCTGCTACCCTGAAGTTGCATGGTGCCTTTCTAGCGGTTCAAATCTAGAAGCTCCTCAGAAGAACGATGGACAGTCTCCTGTGCATTTTCAGCCTTGGAAAACCCACTGGAGGATCAACTGTGAATCCATTCTGAGTTAATTAATGAGTTTAAGTTAGTTTGTTGACTGTGAGCAATCATTTGATTAATGAACACTATGGATAGTATGTTGTATAGAATTAAGAATTTTTTTTCCTCCTGAGAAGTTCATTTCTTTTCCACTGGGCAATTTAATACAGATAGCTTGACTTTAGTTGTAGGACAGTTTTCTTACTAGTTAAAGTATGTTATCTTTATTGCTAAAGTCTTTTGACATTTTCAGAGGAATACCCAAAAAGGTATGTGCCTGACTCTTCTAACTTGGCAAATTCTGAACCTTTTCACCTTTGTAGTAGGCAGCCAGAGCTATTTCTGCTTAGTCTTTTCAGTTTGCTGCCACCTTTTTAAGGGACATTCTGGAATCTGTATGCATTTATAATTCAGGGATCATCCAAGAATTTAGAAATGTTTCTATGCAGCTTTAAGGTAGTGCTTTTCTTTGATTTCCTCTCCTCAGTTCCAGCTGACATGACAGTACCAAACTTCATATATATATATATTATATTTTAAGATGGACACTGCATCTTTCTGCTTGAATTCTGGCTGCCATATGCCTCTTAATGAGACTCAAATCCTCTTAAGTTTCTGGCTGTTGTAGGGGTCTCCCTGATTCCTTCAGAGAGTTATTTTTTAGGGTTTACTGAAATTGGTAATTGCTGTCTGCAGGATTAATCTATTTAAAATTCTTCTACCATTATTTGAAACAGAACTCTGTAAAATTTCATTTTAAAATCATAATCCTGCTTGTTAGTATTCTCTAAATGCTTCATTGTTTTCTAGCATTTTGTGAATTTAGATAAGAAATCTACTGACTTGTTTTCTTTATTATGGAACAGTACATTGACAGAGAACTGCCAGATGTGCAAGTGGTGTTTAGAAGAGGCTGTGGCACCAGGGACATTTTAGCCAATGTTACATGGATCTTAGCTGAAAGTAGAGAGTACCAGAAGAATGTCTTGTTTCATTGATTATACAAAGGCATTTGACTATGTGGATCATAACAAATTGTGACTAATCTTGAGAAGAATGAGAATCCCAGAACACTTAATTGATTTATGTGAAAGCTATATTTGGACCAGATAGCAGTTGTCAGAACAGGGCAAGGAAACACTGCATAGTTCAAAATCAGAAAAAGTGTACGTCAGAGATGCATCCCAATCTCATCTTCATACCTTTTCAATCTATATGCAGAACAGATCATTTGGAAGGTTGGACTTTATAAGGAGGAATGTGGCATCAAGATTGAAGGAAGACTCAGCAGCAGCCTGCATTGTGCAGATGATAAAAGTTTGCTTACTGAAACAGGAGGACCAGAGGCATTTGCTGCAAAAGATCAAGGACTGCAGCCTTCAATATGAATTGAAGCTCAGCATCAAAAAAAAGAAAGAGTCTTACCACTAGGCCAATTGACAGCATCGTGATAGATGGTGAAGAGGTTGAGATTGTTAACAGCTTCAACTTACTTGGCTTCACAGTCAACATTCTTGGTACCAGCGGCTATGAAATCAAAAGACAAATTGCATTAGGAAAGTCGCTGTCAGAGACTTCTCTAGAGTACTGCAGAGCAATGATATCAGTCTAGAGACTAAGGTGCATCTGATCCAAGCCGTGGTCTTTGCAATTACTTGCTGTGCATCAGAGAACTGAACAATGAATAAAGATGAGAGAAAAATAATTAATGCCTTTGACTTATGATGCTGGAGAAGAGTATTGACATACCATGGACTGCCAAGAAAACAAACATTTCTGTCTTGGAGGGAGTGAAACCAAGTAAGCAATGACTTTGAGACTCTGTCTCACATACTTTTGGCAAGTGGCTAGGAGGGACCAATTCTTGGAGGACATCATGCTTGGAAAGTTGGTAGGACAGTACAGGAGAGGAAGACCCCAGATGAGTTGTATTGACTCGGGATAGGACAGAGCTCAGAGTTATTGTATGTAGGGTCACTGTGAGTTGCAAGTGACTTGATGTCGTATAACAGCAACATCAGTGTTTTTAAATCTACAGATTACAATGCTTTCAGATTATTTTATTTTAAAAGCCAAATCAAGAATATCATCAGTAATAAAACAGTATTTTAAATGCCACTGAGTTTTTAAAAAAATTACATATTTTTCATATTGATTACACTCTTAAATTGCATAATTTTTAATATCCTTTTCCATTATTATTCCACTTCCATTAACATAAATCTTCACAACTGGACCAATAAACAGTATCATAGTAGAGAAGAGATTGAAGTTGTCAGCTGTATAGTTTTGTTTGGATCCACAATAATACACATGGTAGCAGCAGTTAAGAAATCAGATGTTTTGTATTGGGAAAAGCTGCTGTCAAGGATCTCTTTAATGTGCTAAAGAGCAATGATGTCAACTTAAAAACTAAGGTATGCCTGACTCTGGCTGTGGTATTTTTAGTTGCTTCATATTCATGTGAAAGTTGGACAGTGAATCATGAAGATGGAAGAATCCCCATCGAGTCAGAACCTACCTGTAACTAACTGACCCTCTGGTGGGTTTTCACAGGCAGTTAATCACACGAATGGAATTATCCATCCTATGCCTGTGGAGCAGCTGGTGGCCTCGAACTGCTTGCCATAGCATTTATATATTCTGAGAGAAACAATCTTGTTGGGAGGCAAAGTAGATGTAGGAGAGAGTTACTGGAATAATGTCTTTAAATAGACGAGACATCTAGTTGAATCAGTGTGTTGAGTGAGCAAAAAGGCAGGGCAGGAAATTTGTTCAAAATGAATAGGTGGACATGTTAGAGTTTGTAGAAAGACTTTTTTTTCTTTCTTTTTCAATACCTTGTGTTGTGATTTGGGTGAAAGTTGACAGAAAACATGAGTTTTTCCTTCAACAGTTCATATACATTTTGTTTCATACCCAGATGTCTCCCTGTTTCCTGTTTCTGTTGCTTTTTTTCATAACCTTTCTGCTGTCTAATGCTAATTTGTGCTAATGCTCTCTTTTTGTTTTATATATAGACTTTTCCATTTTCTGTAAGCTAAAGTTTTTCTGATTGGAATTCTGTTAAGAACAGAATTGCTTGCATTTCTGCCAGCAATGCAAGATAAGTACTTGATTCTCTTTATTGCCTGATTTTCTTGCATATGAGCTTTTCTTTCTTTGTTTTTTTAAAATTAAAATTAGGAATTCATCTAATTTATGATAGTTCATCCTTTTGATGTTCTTAATGTTTTGTTTTTGGCAAGTGATTATCTTTTCAAATTGACTTCTATATTGTTTACTTCATAACTACAATGTCTTGCTTAACTTTCAAGGTCGTTGTGTGTTTCCTATATGAAATCATCTAATTTCTAAGGATCCTAGATTCTTTTAAATTGGAAATTATATGAAGAGATCATAATATGAGTATACTTTTAAAATGTTTTTTATACAATCGAACGAGGAATGCATTGGGGGGGAGCATGAAGAAAATGTGCAGCAATGAATAAAAAAATCATTTTAAAAAACAACACTAAAAATGTTGTTTTTGTTATTTAAATTCATCAGAATGCTGATTAGTTTCTTTTCTTAATTCTTCAGGCATGCCCAAAGAAAAATACGAGCCCCCTGACCCTCGGAGGATGTACACAATTATGTCCTCTGAGGAAGCAGCAAATGGAAAGAAATCACATTGGGCAGAGCTTGAAATAAGTGGTAAGATTTGGAAGCCTGAATTTATGATATAAGGAGTGATTGTATTTTTTATTTTGTAAATATATTTCAGAAGCAGGACTGTTCAGTGTGAAAAACATATTAAGCTAAAACTCAGTACTTATACAACTTAGCAATAATGTTTTATAATTCAGAAATGATAGCATCAGTGATGTAATGAAAATGACCTATGTGAAATGCCTAGTCTTCTTGATATTTAATTCTCTGATAAAGTAGGATTGGACTTTTGTATTATCAAATAAAAGATTTTCTGTGGAATGGGAAGTACTAGTTGTTGAGAAGATTCTTCTTCCCTTCCCCCCCCCCCTTTCTTATTTTCAACTTGTTTCTAAGGGTAGCCTTATTCAGAAACCCAAAATCTTAAGACTCTGAAGCAGCTCTTAAAATTCTTTCTACAGTTCACACAGTTTAACTATATTCAAAGAAATACATAAATGCCCAGACCCGCAGAAGATATCCCTTCTCTGCAGCAAGTATTCAGTGTACTCTTAATACTCCAAAGGTGATGAAGGGGCATTATGTCTTGAGGCAACTTGAAAGACATTTTACCTTAATGTTAGCCTAATAACTTCTCTATGCTTCCTTCAATTTTATCTTTATTTTTGCCTTCTGAAGTAATGCAGAACAAGTTTTGTCTTCATCTGTATTGATTGCCCTTGATTTATTCCACATTTACTCCAGCAGATATACTTAACATATTCTGTATAAAATATTTTCCAAGTGCAAATGCATAGGCATATGGAAGATAGATAAGTGAAAACACAGAGTCACTATCTGTTTTGGAATTTATGATATGCTGGTGAGTGAGAAGAAGAGATTGTCCAAGTATTTAAAAAACCCAACTAATATTACTGCCAAGTCATAGAATGAAAGTCCTATATAGGAGTCAAAAAAGAAGTAATGAAAATAATTTTCTTCGCATACTAATTCCAGGCTGTGGTTCACTTACTGAGTAAACTTAAGTATCTTCTTAGTAGAGGTAAGGTACCCACGTGGACCTCCTGTTTTTATCACTTAACGTTTCTAGAGTGCTGGATTTAATTAAGCTGAGTTCACAAATAAAAAAAGTTTATTTTGTAGTGGCAGAAATGGACATTTCTATGCTTTCACCTTTGCTGTCAGATTGTACTTTTTAATCTGTTGTTGTGTGTTGTCCAATTGGAGCTGACCCATAGCTAATCTTCTAGCAAGTTTTCAAAAACAGTATATTTAAAATGCATGAGAGAAGATTGTCTTTGTCCTGCGGAGCAGGTGGTGGATTTGAACCACATGCCTTTGGGTTGGCAGCACACCCAAACAGGGGATTGGCTTTCTCGTTTACTGCTTTTAAAGCTCAAACAGTCTCTACTGTTATTTTTTCCTTTCAGTTTTTGCAGAATTGTTATTAAAATGTTATTCTGACCTTCTTTCCCCCCAGTTTATTTTATATGTCCTTTGCTCCAGGGCAATTTCCTCTTTCTAACAAATGGTTAACAAGTGGAATAACTTAGGTAAATGAGATTATGTCTTAGGTTAAGATGATTGTCTTTTATTCCCTTCCTCCTATTGCCTTATGTTGGAAACACCATAGAAGTCTTAAGTTTCTATTTATTGTGAATTTTCCTTATATACAACACAGGAAGATGAGGAACTCCACAGTAATGTTTTTCTTAGTTGTATCGCTACCAGCTGTCCTCTTGGAAGGACAAGCTATTGGTGGAATAGGTCTGGAGAATGGGACTTTATAATTTAAAACTCCAAATGGAAATCCAAAATCTCTGTAAATGTTCGTTAAAATTAATAAACTAAAAAAATCAAACAAGATGATTACATTATTATTTTAATCAGTCTTTAATACGCAGATTACTATGTCTAGAAATGATACTAAGGTATGTATTTTTTTACATGATTTAACATTAATTCCTTACAATCTTATAATAAAAAAATCCTAGGGATCTGAGGTTATTGAATCTTTTCCCTGCATTTACTACTGTACTTTCTATTCAGGTTCTTAGGGGATAGATACTAATTTCCTTGTGACATTTGGAGGTGACCAGATGAGTCAGACAACTCAGTTAATCATTACTTTTTTAGAAAGCCCAGTTTATTGAAAGAATAGGAAGACAAAGTACACTGCACTTAAAAAAAAATACTATAATGCCTATGATGAATCTTATTTTGGTAGCAACATCTGAAATTTGATGAATGCCAACTGCTCTGATGATAGAAAAAATAAAATACCATTGTAAGACCAAAAGTCTTGTAATCACTGTACAAGTTCGTTAGTAGGATATTTTTTTCCCACTCAACGTGGATACTCCCTTCTTGTGCCACCATAGGCAAGCGCAGCTTCTTCCCAGTTCCCCAGAGTAGCCATATTATCCTTGTATAATGAGTGATTATTTTCATTTTAAAGTTTTTACAGCACTTTATATACACCTAAGCATTACATTTTATTCCTCCTTTTTATTTGATGTCTTTCTTTTTTTATAAGTTTATTTTATATTTATTTGCTTTTAAAATTAATTTACATTGAGTTTCACATTATCCTTCATTGACACTGTGTTCCATACACTCATTCCTATTCATTATATTTTATAAAATTAATCAACATTGAACTATGCCCACCTTTACCCTGTCTTTCCAGATTCCTGCCAGATCTTTACCATTTCCTATATCCACCCATCAAATTGTGGGACTCTGATCCCCCCCCGCCCCCAGCCTCCCCACTCTACTCATACCCTCCCTGCTTTGGATCCTCATAAATGTTTTACTAGTTAATCTATCTTCTGCATTAATGATCTTATACAGTACTTATCTGTATGAGACTGAGTTAGTTTACTCAGCCTAATGCTCTCCATTCCATCTCAAGTTATGTAGTAATTTTTGAAATTGTTGTTCCTGGGTGTTGCATAAATATTCTATCATGTGAATATACCACAATTTCTCAGTCCATTTGATTGTGATTGGACATTTGGGTTGTTTCCATTTCTTGCAATGGTGAATAATGCTGCTGTAAATATTGGTGTACAAATCTCCATTTGTGTCTCAGTTCCAGTTTTCTTGGGGTGTCATCCAAGCAGTGGAATAGCTGGGTCATAAAGAATTTGTATTTTCAGCTTTTTGAGAAAATGCCAAACTGCCTTGCAGAGTGGTTCACCAACAATATATGAAAATTCCTCTCTCCACATCCTCTCCAACATTTATTGCTTGTTGCTCTACTAAACTTTGTCACTACTACTGGATTTGAGATAGTATCTCATTGTGATTTTTATTTGCATCTGTCTCTCTTATTGCCAGTTTTTACACCACTTTATAGATACCTAAGCATTACATATAATGATTTTGAACATTTCTTCATGTGTCTGTTGGCCATCTGAATTTCTTCCTCTGTGAAGTCTTTTGCCCATTTTGTATTTGGATTATCAGCTTTTTTTCTTGTGGAAGCCTGTAGTATTCTGTAAACTTTTTTAAAGAGACCTTTGTCTGAGATGATATTGCCATATGTTTTTTCCCCAGTCAGTAGGTTTTCTTTTCACTGTGTTGAAAAAGTTTTTGATGCATACAGGAATTTAATCTTTAGAAGGTCTCATTCATTAATTTTAACTTCTCCTGGTTGAGTATTTCTGGCTGTATTTGTCAGCCTTTTTATACTATGGGCTAGGCTTTCTAAGCTTGGTCCCACTTTGTCCCTTATGATCTTTACGGTTTTGGGCTTTACTGTCAGGTCTCCGATGCACCTTGAGTTGATTTTTGTGCATGGTGAGAGGTGTGTATTGTGCTTCAGCTTTCTGCTGCTAGTAGTCCAGTTTAGCAACATTTATTTAAGAAGTTGTCATTGCCCCATTTGATAAATTTTGTTCTTTATTGAGTATCAGTTGAGTTTAGATAGATGGGTTAATTTCTGGGTTCTTGATTCTGTTTTATTGGTCTCTTTGCCTATCATTGTACCAGTACCATGCTGTTTTGATGATACAACTGTGTAGTAGGTTTTAAGATCAGAGAATGCTATGCCTCCTACTTAATTTTTGTTTTTCAGAAGTGCTTTACCTATTCCAGGCGGGTCTCTTTGCTTTCCAAATAAACTTGCCAATTGCCTTTTCTGTCTCTTTGAAAAATGAATTAGGTATCTGTATTGGGATTGCATTAAACATATAGATTGCTTTTTGTAGGATTGTCATTTTCACTATATTGAGTCTTCCTATCCATGAACAGGGTACATTTCCCATATATTTAGGGGTTTTATTGTTTCTTGCAGAAGTGTTTTGTAGTTTTCTTTGTAAAGATCTTTTGTGTTTCTAGAGTACTGAAGAGCAACGATGTCATTCTGGACACTGAGGTGCACCTGATCCAGGCCATAGTCTTTGCAATTACTTGCAAAGCATCAGAAAGCTGGATAATGACTAGGGATGATAGAAGAATTTATGCCTTTGAGTTGCGGTGCTCGAAGAGAGTATTGATTATACCATGGACTGCTAGGAGAACAAACAGGTTTGTCCGAGAGAGGGTGAAACCATGCTGTCCTTAGAGGCAAGGATTCTGAAGCTTTATCTGACATACTTTGGGCATGTTTCATCGAGTCCTTGGAGAGAGACATCATGCTTGGGAGGGTGGAGGGACAGCGCAAGAGAGCAGACCATCAGTGAGATGCATTGATTTATTGACTGGGGTAATGGGGTAGGTGTGTCAGATTGATCTCTGGAAACTGTGGCTGGTCCACACCTGTTCTGCTTGGGCTTAAGAAATCTCATACCTTCTCCATGTGTCACTGTCAGGAAACTTCAAGGACAGAGGACCTGATCTCAGAGCACAGGAATACCTTGATCTGTGGAAGCTATGTCTGGTCCATGCCTGTTCCCCTTGGGCTTATTTGATATGTCTTAATGTGTTTTGTTCTTTTTCTTACAGGTCATATAATGAATTGATCTGTAATTTCCCATAGTCTTGATTTGTTAATTACATACACATAATGCAGTTAGACATGGATGAAATAAAGTAAAATG